ATCCTCACCTGAGCTGGAAGAGGGACTATGTGTCTCGGTTGGTATGAGGATTGTTTTATTGTTGATAACCAACGGGTTGAATTTAAGCCCCTGGGCTTCTGTCCGTTCCTCCACTGAGGATTCCCTGTTGTATAGTTTATTTTCATAGACCGAACAGTCCTTCGGGATATCCTTAGTTAGAGTGGTGAGAGTCAAAGTTGTCCGTCTAGTCGTATCTGAAACCTGCTGGACCGGGCTCGACAGTAAATCCGCTTGTTTCATGCCGCCCGAGCGTTGAGTACTCGCCTCCCTAGGAGGACTCCCCTTTGTTCGCGACTCAGATACTACAACTATACCCATTTCCTTCGGTTTACCGTTACCAGGGGAGACAGTGGGGGAGGGCGGGGAGGGGAAGGTTCCATCCTTCGGACTTTCGCCACTCATTACCACGGGTCTCAGGGGCCCATCGCTACACCCTTTTATCTGCAAGACCCCTTGGTCCCCTTGATCCTCTCGCTCCTTCTGAGTCGGGCTCATTACCAACACGTGGTCAGGGTTGGCCGAATTACCTGGCGCCGAAGTGGAAGCCTCCGAAGGTTGGTCCTTATTTTTTCCTGTTACCACTTCTTGGTCCTGCCTCCGTGATTTGGAGATTTTCCTTTCGGTCTGAGCCTTCTTTTTCTTCCCCTTCTTCCCCACTGGCTTCTTCTTTTTATTCATAGGCTTCTTGTTCTTTATGGATTCCATGGGCTGGTCCCGAAATTCTTCCTCACTCCCCTCCTTTGCTTTTCCTTCCGGGGACTTGGCTTCGCCATCCTCCATAGTTGTGTCCTTATCCTCCTCCTTATCTTCACCCTTGTCTTTCTCTTTCTGGTTCCCTGCATCCCCCTTCCCATTAGCCCCAAAGGAGCCTGAGACAGTGGGTTGCCCCTCCCTGTCTTTCCCCTTCTCCTTCTCCCCACCCTCCATGTTCTTGTCCCCTTCCGGATGTCCCCCTTTTTTCTTACGTCCCAAATCTAATTTGGCCTTCGGATTGTTTCTGTTCACAACTGCGTCAGCACCCTGGTTCTTCTTACCCTGGTCTAGGTCTTTACCCTGGTTCTGTGAGTCGGAGGTTTCCAGGCTGGACAACACTCGTCCTCCTCCGTGTGAAAATTTTGTCGGCATGCCCAACACCAAGGGGTTCGGGCATGAACGACTTCGATTTCCACATAACCCCCTTTTTGCATGTCAATACATAGGTAAGGTTTATAACTAAGTCTGGCTTGTGCTTCCAAGTCAAATTTAATGTTAATTAATTCCGGGGCATTTTTGTCCGCATATGTTTCATACTTCCTTAAGATCGGACCGAAAGCCTTTTTCACAGCAGGTGCCAGGTGTGGCAGGGCCGCAACGGGAACGTACATACACCTAATCCAGAAATACCTGAAACGCATGGCCTCACGCCACTCAACCAACTCGTTTTCTGGCACCAGGGTTTGAAGGATAGGGTATACCTTTTCCCATCCAAAGTTATTTCGTCCTCTTTTTTCCTAAGTAGCCACGTTGCAATCTCCTTCGCCGAGGCTACATAAGTAATCAAATTGTACCCCTCATTATGAAACACTCCTCTCATCGGAGGTGCACTAATTGCTCCACTCCTTGCCCATCCATTTTCATGCATACGAATCAAGCGAACTTTGACCGAGATTGACAGTGATTTCGAATCTTTCCCAAAAAATACCGAAACAGCATTTTCTTTGAGCCACTCCTCCTGAATCGCGTAGACTTCAGGGTTGACTACCACCTTCACGTAGTCATCCCCTATTTCTACGCTTTCAGGATTGAGATGCTTTGGGCGGAGACCCCCTTGGTAACAATTAGTCATCAGTTCCTTGAGTCTACTCTTGTCAGTTCCCCCACTGTTAGGTGGGAGGGGGGCGCGTGCGGGAGGTTCCATTTTTGACGCACAAGAAAGTCAAATAATACCAATCAAAACCACAAACACTTAACAATTCAAACCTACAGACAGACTTATTAAACAATACATATAATAACGAGGCCTCAATTAACGGGATAGGAGTTATCATTCCCACATCCCCTGGGTGGTAAAGCCAAGGCAACCCGACCTACGTATCTCGATGTCGCTCGTACCGTGAAGTTTTTCTCTACTGCCCGTCTTGTCTCAAACTAGGCGGTTCGGCCGTCGCCGGTACGGCACACAAGCAGTTGGGCGCCTTGCTCTGAGGAACCGACGGATTGTGCTGCATGTGCAAAAAGAGCGCCCTCTACGACTTCTAGGGGAAGATTCATTTTCTCATTTTGCACATTTCGGGAGTAGTGCAGCTAGCCGTAGTGAAGTGAGCTCGAATCCATGTGTTACTAGCCGAATGAATTTCCGAATTACCTGGGGCCGGTCAGTTCCACGGTGATATCTCATGCCATGTGACTGAATGGTACACTCAAGAGTAACGATTTCTTTCCCCTTTTCCAAAAAAGTCTGGTTCGCTGCACACCATACAAAGGTTTCATAGCGGAGAGGTTTTATGACTTTCCCAAGAAAGACACGCAGAGACGAGGCACGTGCCAGGAAGCAGCATGAGGACGGAAACACCAGCGCAACCGTGAACGGGCAAGGTCCCACTTGCACGGATTAGGAGATTTCGGCCGTCGATCTTCGCTATCGACGGTCAATATCGCATAATTCGTGCAAGTGGGACCTAGCCCTGGGTGGGGGCGTCCGGCCATTCTGTAGCTTCCACTTTCATCGCAGGCAGAGTGTAGGAGGGCGGCCGCTGATGTCGGGGATCCACTGGCTAAAGGACCAGCTCTTTTCAATATTCAATCAATTCGTGAAGTCCGACGATCGAATCCAAGGCAGAGGCAGACGTTCTTCGTGCTTCCTTTTGATTCTGCTGCTGACGTGTTTGCCTGTGCCCTTTTTCTTCTCTTTGTTTTTTTTGTTTTCTTTTTTTTTTATTATAACGTAAGCTATACGGGTAGTCTGCCGTACTCATCTTTGTCATCCTCTCGCTAGTCTATGTATAGTACGGTGGAACACCAACCAACCCAGATCTCTCCCTAGCCCACGGGGTAGGTTGGCACCACAGCAGTGGTGCAAGAGCAAGGCTGTACCAGTCCCTCATCACGGTGATGAAACTCTGTATTCTTTGGCACTTTTCCTCGTGGAGTCTTTTTTGATCTGATCTCTGGTCGTAGATGAGGCCAGATGCGTCGAGAAATGTTCCAGAAATGTGGCACCTCTGGTAAAATGCACCCATAGGAGTCGTCGTGTGGGTAGGCTCTCGCACGGGCGGCGGGTCGTGGCAGGGCCGTTCCCATTCCCAGTCCAAGCCGTCGGTTTCGATCGGTTTCTTCTTCTTTTTTCTTTCCTTTTCCTTTTTTCTTTTTTGAAAGTTTTTCTTTTTTCTTTTTTCTTTTTTCTTTTTTCTTTTTTCTTTTTTCTTTTTCCTTTTTTCTTTTTTCTTTTTTCTTTTTATTTTTTTTCGTTTCGATCGGTTTCGAGCGCACGAACACCACCGCTTTTTTCCTTTCATTCGGCGGCCGCCCCCCCCCCCGGCGTGGAGATTCCTTCGCCGCTGCGCAAAAAGGACTACCCCGCCGCTGCCCCGTTCTGTCCTGATGCGCAAAAAGGACTACCGCGACGGGGCTTGCTGCGCAAAAAGGACTCCCACTCCCATCCCACGGTCCGGTAGCTAATCAGGACAGAACGGGGCTGTTAGGAAGGGAAAAAAAGCGAAAATTCAATTTCAATTCTTCAATGGAACACGCGCGAGAGGACATGTCGGGCTTCCTCTGAATCGATGAAGTACTCACCAAATGTCCAGAATGGACAATGTATCTTCCTCTAAATCGATGAAGATACCCCCACCATAGCTTTTGTCGCTTTCGCATTTCGCGAGTGGCGCAGCGAGCCCCGTCGGGCTTAGGTTGCTGCGGCTAAAAGACAAAAAAAACTCGGTTGAAAACTCCCAAAGCATTGCTTGGTGGTGGAGGGTGGTGGAGGTAACGCGGGCCGTGCCGCGTTTGATGGCTCCAGACGCCAGCCGATGGAATCGGTAGCTGATGACTGACGACTGATTGACTGATGACTTGCCGCGGGTAGCGACGGTCGTAGCCTCGGTACTAGCCTCCTATACGGCAGGGGCGGCGGGAGAGCGACAGAGGGAATGTGAGAGAGAGAGAGAGAGAGAGAGAGAGAGAGAGAGAGAGAGAGCACGGAGGGAGCAGAAGGGGAAGGAGACAGGGGTTCAGCCATCACCCCGCCCTTCTGACGTAGTCGCCATAGCCACGAAGTACGCGTGTGACGTGGCACGTCGGGGGATCGAGCCGATGTTCCGCCGGCGCGAGTTCTCCTATCTCTCTGGCTCACGGCAGTCCGCTTCCGCTAACTCAACTGGTTTTCTCTCCTTGGTCTGCGTGTCAGACGCCTGATCTGCGCGGACGAGGGAAGTGAGAGAGAAGAGTGAACCTCTCGTGCTGTGGTGGCACGGAGTTTGTATGTGATTGGCGGGAAGACTTGGAGGAAGAATTGCATCCTTTTGGCCCTCAGCCGACCACCCGCGTCGGGCCGCTCTTTCTGCTTTCAGCTACCTTCACTACGTTGTGGCTGTGGCAATTTCTGTTCCCCCTTCCTTGAACCATTTCG